CGTAATCTTTCATGGAAGAAAATCTAATGTTTCCAATTAATAGAACAACAGATGAAGCTTTTTTTCATGCTATGTGGAGGGGGTGCGCGTGATATGTGGAAGTGGTGAGAGAGAGAAAAGACACTCGTTTCGTCTACAAAAGACTCATTGATGACGCTCTTAAAAAAGCTAAAAAGTCAGATCAAGTACGAAGTTGTGGACCAAAAAAATCCAAAACATAGACGTTTCCGTGCTTGCATGTATTCTCATATTTTACCAATACATCGGATTTATTCTAGAAATAACTTCTCCAATATTTGCTACCCTCTCTTTGTGTATGCTTGTCGAAATTGCTATACAGTCCATTCTCATTAGTTAACCTATTCCAGCCAATTCCTGCCAAGCTATCTAATATCTATCTAGGTGTACCTTATAGTTTTACACTGTCTACATTTGGCAGAAAGATTGTCAAGGAATAAAAGTACTATATGTTATTTGTTAACATTACCCAGATTCTGTGGTCCTTCTTTTCATCTTATGTGTCTTCTTTTATTTCCTAATTCAAGTTAGTGGCAATCCTGTTTAATAGAAGAGGGTGGTAAAGGGTTATTTTCGTGCAACGTGTTTTGCCATTTTTATTTCACGTGCAGCCGTGAAAAAGGTTCGTTATTCACCTTGTTTCGTGAAATCGGTAAAAAGATCAACGTACTAGAAATTTCTAATTGTTCGTTCATCGTGAAATAGCAATTTTATTTCGCGTTCTTCCGTGCAGAAACCCCCCCCCCCCCCCTCCCCTTAACGCCCCTCATAGAAGTTGAAATGCTGGTTTTTAATGTGTGTTTTACTTTTACGACATATGGTCTTTTTACGACATATGGTCTAGATAGGTAATTGGGACGGTTTGTGTTTTTTGTCGCACCACATTTTGTGTCTCTACCAAGCCAGGCTAGCTGGACCATTAGTTGTTCGTTGTAGTTTGTCCATGTGTGTTCATCTAATTGGTTTTAGGAATCTGGTTTTAGTGGTTGATGTGGCCTGTTGTTCGGTCTTATATTTATTATGATCCCGATATCCTTATTATGTATTCTTTAACAGATTTTGTGTCGTGAATATGATATACCTTATATTTGTGTATAGAAGAGTTTGGAATCCACACACCAGAAAATTTTAACAAGTATTGAAACAAGTGCCAGAAGATCTACACGATATGCCTGCAACATATATCAAAACCCCAGCAGTAATTCTGAAATGTTACATGATCTCAACAGACCATTCTTACAAGAACGCAGATTATAAACCAAACTTTAGATGTTCAATAAAGTCATACCACAAGACAGTTCCATACCATCGCTAGATATACTCACCAAATACCAGTTTTAAACAAGCAAAATGATACAGACAACGTCAATGCAATAAAATCAGTTTCAAATTCTCGTTATTTGCCAAGAAATCATAGATTGGAATAAACTTCCATCTGAAATATCAAACCAAAATTCCACTGACAACTTTTAAAAGGTATGCACAGGCGGAAACCCAGTTGAAATAGAACAAAAGAATCGAAGCTCTTTGTTAGAGAAGGCGATAAATGCTTACTGTAATGTTTACTATAGTAACAAAAATTTTAAAAGTTAATAGAAACAAATAAAATGACAGTTTTCGGCTAAATTACGAAGTATTTTATCATAAAAACACCATTTGCATAAGTTTTCAATTCATCTAATACATTATTAAGCAGAACAATTAGATATCGCGTCGACGACATGGGTGTCTATTCAGTTGGATCTTAAAAATGCATATCCTCCGATTTTTTAAAAAAATTTACCACGGACGGAGAACATATCAATCTATTTGTTACTTAATTTTCGTTTCTGCCCTTCCATTATGTGACAAGAAAAAATTCCCAAAAATGGGTAACAATTGCATCGAAAAGAGAAAATCGAGTGCACCTTTTTATGTTAGGGCGTGTTTGAGTTGAATATTTTGTCTTGAAAACGTATTAAGCAGGAGTATTTGATACATCATCTCGGTTCAGATTCTGTTATTTTTATAAATCAAAGCTACAGGTTGACTTTATAACATCGAAAATTCACAGAATTAAAAAATGAAATATATGGGCCAAGTGAAATACCTTTCTAATGAATCACAAAAACAGAGTAGGTGTGTTCGAATAGCCGAATTTTTACTAAAAGTACGTAACGACAGACTTTTAAGTTGGATCTCAAAAATGCATATCTTCTAAAAAACTTTATATTTGTGTGTGATAATTAGGGTTTATAGTCTTCAACCACTGAATATTTTTAGTCTGCCCTTCCACGAAATATTTAATAAGATTTTTTTTAAATGTTTATGAATTTTCGAAAATTCCACCTGACAACCGATCAGACAACAGTTTTAAGTTGAATGAAGGCAGACAAGTACATTAACTGATGCTCATTAGCTAGAAGATACATTTGTCTTTTAAAATACAACTGGCATATAAGGATCGTAATGGTGCTATGTGGATACATTTATCGGTTTTCAAGAGCTAAATTGGCAGCGCGTCATCCCTACAATGGCTTCCATTTATACCATTGTACAAATGAACTGGCGTAATGGGGAGATAATTTTGGCGAAGTATAATCCTGACTGTGCACCTACTCGCGAAGTCCTCTTTAAAGCTTCATCGTACCTAAACTAAATGTGATTAGTTTTTATCTCAAAATTTTAAAAATGTAAAAATGAAAAAGTTTTAATTAAAAATTATATCTAAAGAAAAATCGAAAATAGTTGTTATAACAGAGTTATTAACTTTAAAGCAACCTCATACAGGTATGCACCGGAAAGTAATCGTCAAAATGTAGATTGATTTCTGTATCTAAAAAAGGAAGAAAGGTATTGTTTCCCTAAAATCAAGGGCTCATATTAATTTTCAAGTGAGAGGCTTAGCTAGCTATAAAACCAGGTTTAATCCACCATTTTCTACATAAGAAAATGCCTGTACCAAGTCAGGAATATCACAGTTGTTATCCATTTCGTTTGATGTGTTTTGAGCTTTTGATTTTGCCATTTGAATACGGACTTTCCGTTTTAAATTTTCCTGGGAGTTCGGTATTTTTGTTATTTTACTTCTAACTATCATACATTTTGAATGGGTATGGGGGATAATTTTACTATACCAAAGGTGTGGTTTAACAGACGCAATAAATAAACACACTTTATAAATTGTGTGCACCTGAAGCAAGTTTCAGGAATTACATTCTTCAGAAACACTCAAACCCAAACAGTATCAAGTCAAGGAAGTATAAGTACAAAATTCGCGATGAGCTATATAGATATAAGGGAATTAAAAAGAATAGCCAAATTTATCTTGGTAATATATAACAAATGCGTCCGTAAAAAGAATTCAAAAATCATTTAGCTTTATTAATAATAAGTGTTCTTTCATTTTATTTTAATTTCAAGGTACTAGCCTTGTAAGAGTAACGATCTAATAACACTAATCCAAAACCTGACTTTTTACCAACTTCATCTCCGCAACTTCTGTCATGTTTTATATTTTCTTTTTTGCTTTATAATATTTTAATTTCTAGCGTATCAACATTTCTGGTGCTTTAAAAATGTTTTATTTATATGTGTGTTTTACAACGCCTGACTTTGAGCGTGCCAGGCAAATATGATCAAATATAGCGGCAATGATGCCAGTTAGGTTCTAAAAGAATACAATGGGAAATCACATTTTTAAGGATGTTCGCAGCTCTGTTTCAAAATAACAACCTTTTTAAAAGACTGTTATAAATTGATAGTATATAAATAAACTAAAAAAGCAAAAAAAAATGTAGGGTCTGTGTGCTCGTTTTCGAGATACATGCCATTGAAAATTTGGCGGGAAATGATTCTCTCTAAACTTTTAATACATTTAACATTGTCATCCTTTTCTTTGAAAACCTATAATAAAATAACAAGGATTTTATAGGATTTTTAAATATGGCTTTTTAAACTGTATGTAATAAAATTGTAAACAGAAAAGTAGGGGTAAGCGGGCAAAAATATTTAATGATACTACATCGATAAAACCAGAAAATTCAGAATATCTGGCAAAAATTAAAAAAACAAGAGGAGCGAACATCCTTATTTTTAACATCTGAAACTTACACAAAACTTTGAAGGAAGGATGATGAGGTGATCCTCAAATATATTGAAAAGGGGTAACTGCCATAATAGTAAAAAAAAATTATAAGATGTGATATGATTGCCAATGAAATAATTGCATGCTTATTCTATTCTTTAATATTTTAAATTAACTATTCATCAAATTGTTGCTTTCTTATTTACGATATTCTTACTTATATTGGATAAGTGCTTTCTGAATTTGTGTACACTTTTAAAAAAATGTGTACATAACTCTTCTAAGATGACGGAGAGTTTAGTGCAAATCTTGCATGTGTTATTGATAATTATAACACCTTTTTAATTTGAAAAAGTATTCCCAATAGACAGCAACATTTTTATATTTGTTCATCTCTTTCATAATCATAAATGTTGGTGATAAAATTAACGGTATCAGTTTTTTCTACATCAGATGCGCATTTCGTCGATAAATGTCTTCTCAAGGATGATTGAGGCCAAAATATTTGAAAATTCTAAACTTATCAAAAGAAATGATCAGCTTATAAACTAAAAAGGACACAAAGTTTAGTAAAAGCCGGGCAAGGAATCAGAGCTTTGTATAAGGGATATAAATTAAAATAGATAGGTATAACCAAATCAAATGACACTTATTTTCGTGTGTGGATTTTCTTGAATGAAAGCATTATCGACTTCTGGTGGTTCCTATCTGGTAGGCTGGCTACTCACTCGAAATGAAATACCCAAATGATTTTGTTTTCATGAATCACGCAAAATGAAAATAAAATGATACCATTTGTTTTTCACACTTTCTGCAATGATAAAAAGTTGGTGACGATAATGAAAAAAATGATAATCAACTGCAACTTGCATAAATCTATAATTTATGCTCAAGTGTAAATCAGATTCAAATTGAAGCCGTTAAACGTATTGATCTGTCAGTCAGCACACTAAAGTCATCAGTGTATTTGTAGATATTGTTCATCTTCCACACATTAATTCAGAATGGCTACCGACGATAATAAACATGTAAGTTTAGGTTATAAAATGAATTTATGTATGTCTTGAGGTGTATGCGTACATTTCCATTTTGTACAATGTATACACCATTATCTGATTTCTCGAACTAGGATCCACGATCTCAGTTATGTCTGTGTTTCTCGTTCATCAGTCATCCCATAATCAGGCTCTCATCGAGTACAATTATTATTTATCAGTCATGAAAAATGGTGGTTTCACTTAATTCTCGTTAATATCTGAATTCCAACTTCAAAAATACGTTATATCATTACCCAAATCTTTTTCTGCATGGGACGTAAAATCACGCAAATTCGCAAATATCTTTTCTGATAAAAACTCGCCACAATAACAATGTTTTTAATGTTTCTGAATGAATTCAGTTCTATTCAATCTTGCAATAGAAATCAGACACACAATAGAAAATAACGATTCTTATTTATAGTTTATTGATAGTTTAATTAATTTATTCTCGGACTTTTGTTTTTAGCATGAACACCCGCCACCCGAAGTTATGGATAGAATATTGGGTACTTTATATGGTGGATGTATTGGAGATGCTATAGGTATACTGTCAGAATTTTTAACAAAGGAGGAAGCAAAAGAGGTATGTAACAGTTAGGTTTATAGTTGACTAACTGCAATATTCATGTAGGTATATATTATTGAAATATACTACCTCTATAGTAATGAACCGTGGTTGTACTGGTAAAGATTAGGGCGTAACTTCCACTGTACAAAGTCAGAAATATGACAGTTGTTTTCCATTCGTTTGATGTTTTTAGACTTTGGATTTGGCAATTTGATAAAGGACCTTCCGTTTTGAATTTTCCTTGGAGTTCGGTATTTTTGTTATTTTACTTTTTTTCCAAAGTTGTACGGGTGCCATCATGATTTGGTTGAGAGTTATGTAATATCTGTCACACGGCTATATCCCATTTGTCGTAACCATAATCTCGCACTAAATACAGCTTTACTTTGAATTTGTTACCTTCGAAATGCAGAACACCGGTTTCCACCAATAGAAAAGGAACTGCACGGTTACGCTTAAGAGGCAGCTGAGTTCTTGTGGTTCAAACCAAAGTTTTATGTGTAATTTGTAGATTATTTTTGTCTGTTCCTCTCTTCATTTTTTTTTCTTTCGTTGCGTGACGTTAAAGATATGTTAATCTATTATTGTTTTCTAAACGTCCAGTTGAAAATATTTTATCCATATTCAGGACGAGAACAAAATTAACAGTAAATCTGACAGGAAAGAAAAATAGATCACTCGAGATGAAGGGCGGTTTAGGACTACCACTAGAGAATGAGGGCATGTTGGATACACTGTAAGAACAGAATTTTGCGGATCCCTAAAATAGTTGTTGCAATGTTTCATTAGCGTGCAGAAAGCGTATCAAACTATTGCATTTTTTACGCCCCCGCCGTAGGGGAAGGGGCATTAAGTTTTACCCTTGTCCGTCTGTACGTACGTCCCAAAATTGGTTTCCGTTCTCTAACTTAAGTTTGCTTCAACTTAATGTTATGAAACTTATACACAATGCTTATTACCACAAAACACAGATTAAGTTTGAATTTTGGTGGCGTCACTTTTACCGTTCTAGAGTTATGCCCCTTTACAAATGAAAATAATGCTGAATTCTTCGTTTACGTTCTCTAACTTTAAATTAGTTTGCCTCAACCAAATGTTACGAAACTTATACACAATGCTTATTACCACAAAAAACAGATCAAGTATGAATTTTGGTGGCGTTACTTTTGCCATTCTAGAGTTATGTCCCTTTACAAATGGAAATATTGATGAAATATTCGTTTATGTTCTCTTACTTTAGTTTGCCTCAACTAGATGTTATGAAACTTATGAACATTGCATATTACCACAAAACTCAGATCAAGTACACATTTTGGTATCGTCACTTTAACAGTTCTTGAGTTATGTCCCTTTATAACGTTATTTGCAAGCGGGGGCATCATCTCTGTCCCATTGACACATTCCCCATTTATTTTTATCAAGACTTGAGAATTACAGTTTATTGATTCACCTGTTTAGGTCTATCTTTGCCAAGTCGAAACTCTTTATCCAAATTGAACCACAACCTGGAATTTCCAAACGAACATTCATACAGTATGACTTGTCTACTCACTGATAAATTGAATAACGATTGAACGAGATATTATACTTGTGAACAAAATAGGATATCTGCCACTGAGCTAAAACAAAACGAAAGATTGAATATCTGAGGTAAAAATACTAATACAAAACAAATGATGAGAGAATATCTGCGGCTGAAGTGGACATTTTTTCCAAATTTGACACTGCTACATCTCATGAATATCTTCCGTTGTTTAAACAACTTTGTTCGGGATTAAAAAAGTATAAAATTGCTACGTGTTTTGAGTTTACTTCTTTTAATAAAGTTAAATTTCTTCCACTGTTTTAACATTTCTACGTCTACGTGGTTTGACACGTGCTACATCATATAGACATTTTCTATTTGTTTACAGATCTCTTGGTTCTTTGACGCTCCTTCATTTGCAAATCTTTCAACTAGTATACTCATTCCTTAATGCTTTGTGCTTTACCAGCTGTTTCTTCATTATATATATTCTTCAGATGTAAAGATTTCTTTGTGCTTTGACACTTGCTTCTTGAAAGGTTATCGGCTTTGAATTACGGGTGATGCCTTCATTTAGAATAGTTCAATATTGTTTGTGTCTTCGTGAAATATTCAACTGCCAATAGGAAACATACATATATAACCTTGAGCTGCTGGACTGTTCATCCTTGATGACATCACCAGTCGAGAAGCTTAGTATTTTGGTGTTATCAAAATGCAGATATTTGCTCTCTAGAGCTAGCAAATCGTTTGACATTTTAGAGAAATGCATTTTCCAACTGTTGACTTCGAGCATCACTGAAGAGATTAAATGAATCTTGTTTTGTTAAATGAGTATCGTTTGATATTACTAGTATTGTCCTTGTTGTTCCGCCAGCTAGCAGAAAGCATTTCAATATTCTAATTCATCATATACAAAATATTCAACTATGTTTTCATTTTTCAAATCAAGCATTATGGACCAGTGGCTAAAAAACTTGAATACAGTCATAAGAGTCTGGTAGACGATGACCACAGAATAAGATGGGAAGAAGGAGACTGGACAGATGACAGTGACCAAATGGTACTCATAATGAGATCATTGGTTGACTGTGGAGGAAAGGTAAGAAAGCAAGATAAATCTGTTATCCGAAATACTGTTAAAGGAATGCATCTCTATCGTTCAAAACTCTGATTCCGTATCTGCATTTGCTATACTTTAAGTCTTTTTTTTTTATCAGCTCTGCAGCATTGGTATTGGTTTCGGCTTTTCCAATATTTAGGCCCTAAGTCATTAATTGTCGATCGAAATGTGTATCTGGTGCATTAAAATTGATACCGTTTCACAAAAACAAGCGGGAGATACCAAACGATTATTTAACATACTATTATTAAGAAAGATGACACACAATATAAAAAAGAAGATGTGGTATGATTGCCAATAAGAGAACTCTTCACAAGAGACCAAATGACACAGAAATTAACAATTAAGTATAGGTCATCGTACGGCCTTCAACAATGAGCAAAGCTCATACCGCATAGTCATCTATAAAAGGCCCCGAAATGACAAATGTAAAACAATTCAAACGAGAAAGTTAACAGCCTATATGTAACACATAAACTTAATACATAAACACATGTATACTTTAGTTTTCCATTGTAAGCAGGTTCTCTTCGTTTGAAATTGTAGCTTATAAAGGTTGGTCAGGCTGTATAGATATATATAACAAAATACATAATAAACAAAATATACTGATAAAACAGTCATGAATATAATTGATACATGCCTATATTTGTTTCTAGGTGGACCTAAGTGACTTTACAGTCAAATTAACAAATTGGGTTAAGCATGGATATAAAGAACTGAATGACTGGTGTGGATTGGGTATAGGTACTTTAACAGCAAAAGTAACAGCATATCCTGATTATCTGAAAGATCCAGAAGAGGTAACGTAGACAAATTAGGTCAGATTTCTTGAATGTATAGGAAAATATCACCTTTTAGATGTTTGAAAATAAATAAATAACTAAATTCCATTTTAAGAAGCGAATTTCCATTTAACCTGTTTAGTACATTTCTACCTGTATTTCGAACTTCTTCCCTTTCCTGCTTTTCCACTCTTGTTGTTCTTCTTTCTTTATTCCAGATTTTCCTTATCTCATCGTCTCTGAATCAGCTAAGTTTTCCTTGCATACTGTAGTTTGGTTAATAAAACTTGGTGTTTTGAAACTTAAAAAAAAACGTGTATATATGTCTGTCATATTTTTTTTTCGTAAATTGTTTTGTTATAAATTTGGCCGTTAGTTTTCTCAATTGAATAGTTTCATATTTTTCATGTCGGGGCCTTTTATATATAGCCGATCATACGGTATGGGTTTTTCTCATTGTTGAAGGCCGTACGGTTGCCCATAATTGCTTACCTCCTCTTCATTTGAACTTTGGTGGATTGTTGTCTCATTGGCAATCATACCACATCTCATTATTTTTATATAGAGTAAAAGTATAGGAAAAAGAAATTAAGATAGGGACACCTAAAAGTCACGTGCTGGTGAAATAAATTAATAACTTTCCACATTATTCCGTTCCCAATCCCAATTTCTTTACTGAAACAAATACATTTTAGGCTGCTCGTGCAGTCTGGGAACATCAGGGTAAACATACTGCATCGAATGGTGCTGTGATGAGGACCTCAATTGTTGGTGTTCATATGTACTGGAATATGGATGAGGTTGTCAAGAATGCAATAGAACTTACAAAAACCACGCATTATGATCCAAGGTAGGATTACTTTAATTGAGCTGAAAAAGAAAACTAAAAGCACTACACATAGGCAGAATATATATTGAGTTTCATGTTTACAGATGTGTATTACAATCCCAAAGACAACTTTCAATATCTTTCTCCTTTGAAATCAATGTGTTCATTCAACTTGCCAATGATATAAAATATCTGATCCTTATATAACATTACTTGAAAAGGAGAGGCGAAAAGATACCAGTGGGACTTTCAAACTTATAAGTCGAAAATAAACTGACAACGCTATGGCCAAAAAAAGAAAAAGACAAACAGACAAAGATTAGCAGAAAAAACACAACATAGAAAACTAAAGACTGGGCAACACGAACCCCATCAAAACCTGGGGGTGATCTCAGGTGCTCCGGAAAGGTAAGCAGATCCTGCTCCACGTCTGACACCCGTCGTTTCGTTTCATTAAAGTTTTCGCCAAAATGGTTGTAAAATATCAATACTTTGCTTCGGATTATTCCTGTTTAAAAAACCCGATGTTTGGAAATTCATTACTTTATAATGTGTTCTTTCTAGATGTCAAGCATCATCAGTGGCTGTATCTGTAGCTATAGCAACAATGCTGCAAGGAAATCACAGAGATAAGAAAGGTCATTTCAAAGTCAAAGACGTAATACACGAAGCTTATGAGCATGCATCGAAGTGCTTAGAAACTGATGAAGAAAAGAAAGACTTAGTGTTTTATTTGGAATGTGAAAAGATTAAGGAATTGAATTTAGATGAATCCAAGAAAATTGGTTACACGTACAAAACTATGGGAGCAGGATTTTGGGCATTAAAGCAGAGCGATTTCCGGAAGGCAATTACTAAAATCATGATGCAGGTAAACGTATTGTCCATCATTTTAAGAAACTATGTCGAAAAGAGTGGGTAAAACATGTTAATAATACAGGAACGATTTGGATTACATTATAAAACTTCATTTCTAAATTCATATTCCAAACACGTGTAAAATACATAAGCTCTTTGAAAAAGAACTAAATTAATAAACCTTTCTAAAATTGTCTGTTTATGAATTTAGAAATTATTAAGAGACTAAGGTGTCAACTCCCTCTGGCAAAAGTTGACCTCATATGGATTTGGATATTATTTTTATATCTTTTTTTGGTCATATAGCTCTTCGATTGTTTCGGTTCTTATCCATCCTTGGCTTTACAAATATTCGGCTTTGATCGTTCCTGATGGAGGTAAATCCAGAAAAGCGCTTCGGATGCATGACATTCATAACGTGTTATTTTCATTAGTAAAATCACTGTCTTGATACCGCTGCTGTTGTACTATTAGTTCCACAGGCTATCATCAGCTCAGTAGTCAGTACTTCGATACTGACATGATTTATAACACACCTTTCTAAAATTGTCCATTTATGAATTTAGAAATTATTAAGAAACTAAATGTACAACTCCCTTAGGCAAAGTTGACCTTAGACGGATTTGGCTATTATTTTATGTCCCTTTTTGGTAATATAGCTCTTCAACTGTTTCTGTTCTTATACATCCTTGGCTTTCCAAAATTCGGCTATAAGCGTTTTAATAAAGGTCAATCCAGAAAAGCGCTTCGGACGCATGAAATTTATAAAGTGTTGTTTTCATTTTTAAGGCACCGTATCTTTAAAAAAAAATATAGAGGGTTAATCGGAAAGCATTTTAGGAGCGTCATGAAATCTAAGTGGGATTCTTGGTGTACAGTCGTATGCCAGGATGAACGCCATTTTGGCTTGTTGTAAAAATGTCAAAGCACAGTGTAAATAGTGGCTATGCAATGAAGTTGTTTTTGTTAATCAAAACTTCGTGATTGATCAATGTATCTCTCTGCTGTAAAACCTTTGTGGAGACACGAAAATTCAGTGGATTAAAGGTGCGAGTGGAGATGCTTACGAGATGAATTTATGAATAAAATAATTTGTGTTCTATTTTGAATGACAGCGAAGTACAATTTCAAAAATGTTGAACCAACTTATGGAACCAAATTGGCGTATCCTCTCGTACATTGGTACTAACCACAATTAAGAATTTAGAAAATTCCATTGTCATGCACGACCGTATACACATTAAACACATATTGTATAAATGATTGTTTTTTTTTTCTTGGTTTTTTTCTTCTTTTTAAAGTTTAATGTTAAAGATTGATTGATTGATTACTTAACGTCCACTGGCAAGTTTGTCATGCTAGATTAAGAGATTTGGCATAACCTTTTTGAATCTTTGATTTTCAATACTGTTAAAGTTCGTTATTTGATCTGGCCTTCTACCACTAATGAGTCTTATTTATAGGAAACGCCCGTCATGCGTACCAAACAAGCCTGTAGTATCATTGAAAAGTTTTTACAACAATTGATTTGATGCAAATGTTGGTCGACGTCTTTACCTAGTAGATCACCTGCCAAGGAGTCAGCACTATTATGCTGATCATAGAATTATAATACACTTAAAACACCTAGGTGTTCTACACTGAGGCATAGAGGGCTTTGAACCATGTTTGGCCCAACGTTTTGAAATTGTCTTTTTCAATGTTGTATAATATCTTAGTTGATTTAGCCTGGTGATTATCTTTACTCAAGGGCCAGTAAAAAGTCTTTCGGACGAGAACCGGTGTTTTCAACGTGATATCAGGGGCGTAGCTGGCCTAAAATAAAGTGCAAGCATAAATCTTGTATCGCCGAGCGGAGCGAGGCGAAAAATATTTTGGGACCTTTTTATGCAGAAAATGATAATTTTTCGGTCATTTTCCAGGTATGCCATGCTTATGAAATTCACATTACTCCTTATTAACATGGTTGTTTTCAAATATAAAATAAATTTTATAAAACGGGAAGATCAGTCGACAAGTCAACCGAAGCGTTTATCAATAGAAGGGCAATCAATGGACACATGACCAGCCCGGGAACAGATAAGACACAAAAGAACAAACAAAAACATTCAATATTGAAAACTAAATACAGATAAAAAAAAACGAACCCCGACAAAAAATGTGGCGACCTCCAGTGCTCCGGAAGGGTAAGCAGGTCCTGCTTCTTGCAAGACACCCGACCGTTTCTCACTAAGGTCATTTTCGAATCAAAGGAGCCTGAGGTTTCTACGACAACGGTAGAAGGTCACTTGGGACACAGATACCCAAGGTGAATTAATAGTCTTTTGGACGAACGGACAATGGGAATACGAAATCAAACGGCAACTTTTAAGTCTTGACTTATAAGTGAGGGATATAAATCTTAGATGTTTTCAAGGTTATTGTATTGAGCCTGTATTATTAAATGTTAATACTCATGTAAGACTTAAAGTAAAGTTAATATCCAAAGTCTATATATCTATTTTTTGCCAAGGCAAAAGATCGCAGAACTCTCTCGGTGTCGATATTCATTTCTCTGTGAACATGTATGAGCGCCAACGAAGATAGTCTGTCCTATACCATGGTTGAACGGGGATAAGTTTTAAGTCGCCGTAATGCACTAAATGACCGTTCAGTAGTTGATGTAGTTACTGGCATTGTAACTAAGATTGACACGATTGCAAACTATTGAAGGATATACTTTCTTTTTAGTCACTGCTAGAGACGACATCAGAGATTTGGGCTACTCTATAACATCTGGACCCGACCAGCGTCTCTGCCATCTCTTTACCTCAGAATTGAAGGTTTCTTGATTGTCCGTCAAGTCGTGTCTAAATGTTTCGTATATTTTGTCTATACACTCTGCTGTCAAAGATTCCAAACGTGCAGGTATTTAATTGAAATTAAGGTTCTGGCCTTGAAAACGATCAGAATTATCCAGTAAACGTCCTGTGAGTTCTTCAATGAAATAGTCAAGAAAGGAGAAATACAAGGCTCGCTTCCAATATTGACTTGGAGTGTCAGCTGGATAGTTAGCCCGGTTGACCTGTCTTCCTACTCATTCGTAATTTAATTTCAGAATTATTTTTTTTTGTGAAAAAAATGTGCAAGCAAATGATTTTTTGCGTAAAGGCAGCTACGCGCCTGGATATGGTCGTAGACACAGTAGTGTTAAAATTTTTGATATATAGTTTATAGCCGACGGAAGACGTATATTAAGCATTCATTTTTCTCAACAGAATTTGCATACAATAAGAAAATCTTCAGGTATAAAAAAAAGAAGCAAAAATGTATATTTCAGTTTAAAAAAGTGCACTAAACAAATCGCACAGCGGGGGTGTGGGTCCGCCGAAATCTTGTGTTAGTTGATAGTTGATTTGGCCTGGTCATTATTTTTATTCAAGGGCCACTGAAGTCTTGTGTAGACGAAAAGCGCGTCTCTGCATTGTAAAGCTGGTATCTTTGATAGATATTTACAGTAATGGATGATTATATTCACTTATAGTTATTTCATATACCGATACCTTGAATTGTTGCATAGGGTGGAGATGCAGATACCAATGCTTGTGTTGGAGGGGGTTTACTGGGATGTAAACTTGGAATGTCTGCTTTACCAGAGCCATGGGTGACAAAACTTTTACACAAGGAATGGTTAGATAATGAATTTAAAAGGTTGGTTCAAAAAGAATTTTGAATGTCTACTGAACAACAATTATGTATACTTAAATAACTGACCAAATTGAAAAGGCTTGATCTTTGTCGTGTATACGCAGCAATCTTATTGGAATAATAATGTTAATAATTGCTTGTTCATCATTATTTTGATTAGTTAAAACACAACAAATCATAAAATATTTATTTGAGACAATTCTTAAAATTTAACTTCTTTAGATTATTATTCATTGTTGTCGGTTGAAAAAGGAAAATTGATTGCCAGCATCATTAATTTGTCGAAGACATTTGATCAGACACTGTTTGGACTTGTCGGTCTTTTTTCTGAGATGTCAGTTATATTTAGATACATACAATTTAAATCAAAAACGTAAAACCGTTAAATCGTTGATATCGCCACAAGACAGTACTTGAAAATTTTGGAGCTAAATGTAAATCCAGTAAACATAATTCAAAGATACAACAAAAAATTCGGTCATTGATTGAATTGTACAATAATAAAAATAATTAAACAAAATTACTCTGAAACACTTTAGACCTCTAGTATCTTTGATTCAAGACAACTTTCCTTAGTTATATGACATTTTTTGAAATTTAGTAACCATATCTTGTTCTTTTCAGATATTTTGAGTTAATGAAATGGGAATGGAATGATAAACCAAAAGGAAAATGAAGGATTATCCGTATTGCATATATATATATATATATAGAGAGAGAGAGAGAGAGAGAGAGAGAGAGAGAGAGAGAGAGAGAGAGAGAGAGAGAGAGAGAGAGAGAGAGAGAGAGAGAGCAACATCTATTAATCTATTAATATAATTATCAAAAGAAGTTTAGTTTAGAATGTATCATTGTGACTTTGAGACGAAGAACAGTAATAATGGCGTTGTTCCTTCACTATTGTATTTTTTTGATAACCAATATACTTTCTTTTCTCTTGGACTTAGAAATATCTTGTTATATTTCTTTTAAAGAATATTTATTAACAATATATGCCTCTCAATTGAGGCAAAATGTATATGGTAATTCACTAATGAAAATTTGTCCGTACTGAAATATTTAGGTCATTATATTAATAAATATCGAGATGCAAGACGAAATGTTAATCAGCTCTAAAAGTTATTTTAACCGTTTGTATTGTTCTGGTCATGTCTTGAATATATCTTTTGTAATTTATAGGTGATATAGAAATAAGTAAAGTATAATATGAGAAGTTCATATTTTTGTATAACTGTTATCAAATCTTATAGTGTTATATTTGTTATTAATGTGAATGGCATGTTGCCCATCAAGTGCCCTTAATTGGAATATCAAATATACAGAATTCTTATTCTTATTCATTCGACTTTTTGCTGTAGCTATAAATGCATATAATTTAAAATAATGCTGCTGTTTGTCTATTTAATTATGGTTCCAAAGTTGTGAATGTGTTTTATTTCAGTGTTTATTGATAAATATTATTATATCTGTCTCCCGCAGAAAATGTTATGAATGCAACTTTGGTATCTTAATATGCACTATAAATGACTCTTTTACATTTTCTTTCATTGACTCTTGATTTCATAACAAGCAGGGGCGGATCCAGGATTTTAGGTTAGGGGGCGCAAACTTAAATTTTTTTTTAGGTAAAATTATCTTGAAATATTCTTTATTCAGCTGAGTACAACCCATGCTTTTCAAATTTTAGGGGTGGAGGGGGGCGCACGCCCGCCACGCCCCCGCCTGAATCCGCCCCTGACAAGCGTTTTAGTTGCCAGTTTGTCAATGTTTTTTTACTTATATGTGCATACATACATATGTGTATACATGTATCTATTATTATCTTACCTCTTATACATTTCTAGGAATATGATTGGTTAAAAGCAACCACATGGAGACCGTGTATATTTGATATTGGGTTAGTAGGCGGGGCTTTTTTCAATACCCGGTTAGTAGTGGTGTTGCATCCCTTTATAAAAACAACACAGTGTTGAGGAAAATCTGAGAGGTTTCAACAGACGAAGAAATTGATGATGAACGATTGAAATAAATTCATAAAACACATTTATTCAAAGCTAACAAGATGTTGTTGGCATTTGTTTTTGTAAAGACCAATAGAAGTAGGTTCTTAATACTAACGTTATTGAAATGACTTGGTCACTTTGATAGGTCACTAGTCTAAATAACACAGTCATGTTAGTAAAGTCGGTAAGATAAGCTCGTTATAGAGTGTGCTAGTGACCTAATACGATATATATGGGTCAGTAAATTGTATATGGGGATTAGTTTTTTCTACGCTCTGACCCTATGTGGAATTTACTGACCCAATATATATCGTATTAGGTCACTAGCACACTCTGTAACTAATAATACAAAGCAGTCTCTACATTTCACGGTATACGCATGTTATCTTTGAATGTCTGAATAGGTTTGAATATGTTTGCATGTCCCTTTGGTATCTTTCGCCTCTCTTTTAGTTACTTAATTACTGGTTTATTCTAACAGTTTTTTTATTAGTGTTATGCTATATATTCAATCTAGAGTACTATTTCAAAGTGAAATCTCTTATGTATATTGAACGTTCTTTTATTTGATGCGCGTTTATGGGTTTAGCGTCTCCAGGAACGTTACGAAATCAAATTAAGGTATTTTCACAATTTATACATATATGATGCTATCTATTTCATGAATGCTTTATATCTGTATTGTTCACTTGTTGTTACATGTTTGTTCATATGAGGAAAAAATGTAATGTTCAATAGAGAAATTATTTTTTTTGCTGTTTTTATGATCGAAATAAAGCAAACACCGTTGTTATTTTGTTTCCACCCAGAGCATTTACAGATTTCACGTTATGTTCTTCCTAAACGAAAGTTGTCATGACTAGTGTACCATATCCCCTCATTAAAATCGTAACATATAAAAATAGAAGATGAGGTATGAATGCCAATGAGCAGTCTAATTAAAATATAGAACTCTGATTTCGTTATATAGATATAAGAAATTGTGGTATAAGTGCCAATGAGACAACTCCATCCAAGTCAAAACTTATAAAAGTAAACCACTAAAGGTCAAAGTACGGTCTTCAACACGGAGCCTTGGCTCACACCGAACAGCAAGCTATAAAGGGCTCCAAAAATTACTAGTGTAAAACCATTCAAACGGGAAAACCAGCGGTCTAATCTATATAAAAAACGAGAAACGAGAAACAATTATGAACCACATCAACAAACGACAACTACTGAACATCAGAATTCTGACTAGGACAGGTGCAAACAATTGCAGCGGGTTTAAACGTTTTAATGGTACCAAACATTCACCCTTATCTGAAACAATAGTGTAACATCACAACATAGAACGACACACTACAAAATATCAATTGGAATGGCTTAACTCAACCAAAAGACATATTAACACCAGAGAACATACACTGAACAAATAAAGATCTCTGATACAATGTATGTACAAAATAAATAAACTAAGGGAAGAATAATTAAAGTGACATGTTATACCGCTGTGAAATGTTAAACAATTTAAGAAAACCAATATGCTTGAATAAAAATATCAGCCATTTGCAATTACTTTAAACACAGGTAAATGAAAATAATTTTGTTGTTAGGTATACGTGTACAGTTCAAATGGAGAAAGGAAATATATTTACAAAATAAATAATTTTGATGTTCATAGTACGGAGAGGTGAAAATTTATAGTAATACCAAACACTTATCAAAGCTGGCATATAGACCAGATATAACCCTGAATAAGTAAACATTAAATAACAAAAAAGCATTACAATTAGTATCAACAGGTCAAATAAACAAGAAAGTACGATTTGAGAGTACTCGCAATTACTGACAGCTAGTTAAAAGCCAATAAAATGCTCCGCAGGGCGCAGCTTGATACGACCGCAGAGGTCGAACCCTGAACAGTTGGGGGAAGTATGGACACAACATTCAAGCTTGATACAGCTTTGGATTTGGATTGTGATTAAATATTTGACACAGCATAGGTTTCTAACACAGATTGAATGTGGTCTAAGAACTTAAAAATTTTAAATTGGACATTCACCTATTATGGTCCAATATCCAAAATCTAAATACATGGTTAGATTCAGCATATCAAAGAACCCCAAGAATTCAATTTTTGATGAAATCAAACAAAGTTTAATTTTGGACCCTTTTGACCTCAATGTGGACAAAGTTGATAACGGGGCCCAAAAATCAAAAATCAAAATACATGGTTAGATTCAGCATATCAAAGAACCCCATATATTCAATTTTTGTTGAAATCAAACAAAGTTTAATTTTGGACCCCGATTTGGACCAACTTGAAAACTGGGCCCATAATCAAAAATCTAAATACATGTTTAGATTCAGCATATCAAAGAACCCTAAGAATTCAATTTTTGTTAAAATCAAACTAAGTTTAATTTTGGACCCTTTGGACCTTAATGTAGACCAATTTGAAAACGGAACCAAAAATTAAGAATCTAAATACACGGTTAGATTCGGCATATCAAAGAACCCCAATAATTCAATTTTTGATGAAATCAAACAAAGTTTAATTTTGGACCCTTTTGACCTCAATGTGGACAAAGTTGATAACGGGGCCCAAAAATCAAAAATCTAAATACATGGTTAGATTCAGCATATCAAAGAACCCCATATATTAAATTTTTGTTGAAATCAAACAAAGTTTAATTTTGGACCCCGATTTGGACCAACTTGAAAACTGGGCCCATAATCAAAAATCTAAATACATGTTTAGATTCAGCATATCAAAGAACCCTAAGAATTCAATTTTTGTTAAAATCAAACTAAGTTTAATTTTGGACCCTTTGGACCTTAATGTAGACCAATTTGAAAACGGAACCAAAATTTAAGAATCTAAATACACAGTTAGATTCGGCTTATCAAAGAACCCCAATAATTCAATTTTTGATGAAATCAAACAAAGTTTAATTTTGGACCCTTTGGACCTCAATGTGGACCAATTTAAAAACGGGGCCCAAAATCCAAAAACTTAATACACGGTTAGATTCAGCATATTAAAGAACCCCATGAAATCAAGAATAAAACCCCATTGAAATTGGTCAAGAAATAAGCAATTTATAGGAAGTATCTTCTTTTGCACAATCCTGTGCTATTAAATATTTCTTGCTATTGCGCAATACTGTACAATTGACAATTTCTTGCTATTGCGCAATATTGTGCTATTGGATATTTCTTGCTATTGCGCAATACTGTGCAATTGAAGATTTCTTGCTATTGCGCAATACTGTGCAATTGAAGATTTCTTGCTATTGTGCAATACTGTGCAATTGAAAATTTCTTGCTATTGCACAATACTTATTATATAATAATTTACACATCCTGTTTGGTGTGTATCTCCTACCATATCATTATTATTTGATTTTAAATATAAATCAGAAATTACCAACTTAAAATGGAAAATTTTAAAAGAAACAAAAAAGGAAAAAAAGAAAAAAAAGGAAAAAAAAAAATCCCCCCCAAAAATTTTATGAACCCCCATTATGATTCATCACCCCCAAACTCAATCCCAGCCTTCCCTTTGTGGTATGGTACCTTGCAGTACAATTTCAGAGAGATCCATACACTTGAACACAAGTTATTGTCTGGAAACTAGAAAAAAATGTGTTTTTTGGCCCCTTTTTGGCCCCAAATTCCTAAACGTTTAGGGCAATTACCCCCAAACTCAAACCAAGCTTTCCCTTTGTGATATGGAACC